GCCCCGTGCTGATAATGACTGCTAGATCCTGGCGACAGCGAGACGCAGCCTGTCCCGCCAGCGCTGCGCCATCCCGGGCCCGGGAAGCCAGCGGGGCTTGCAAGCCTCTGCCATCCTGGGGGTTTAGGCAAATTGCTTTGACATCCGGGAAAGTCGTAGACATCAACGGTGAACGATCTAATGGCTTTTAATTTCATTACGGCGACTCTAATTGAGAGACTACTGGTGCAGTTCCTCCTCTGAAGTCCCTATTGTCTCACAGCGCCTTAGGTTTGTTTTAATAGCCTTTTCCCGAGAGCCGCCTGCTCCCAGCGGGGGCCCGGCTGGCCCCTTTCCTAGCCGGCTCCTCTTCCTCCCCGGCCCCCGTCGCCCCCCCCCCCCCCAAACAAGCGCTTCGGGATGGGAAAGTTGCCCCCACCGAGTTTTGCGACGGAGGCTCCACTTTTCCCCTCCCATTTCCTGGTGGACTGGGGAATGTCCTGAGCCCTGGAAAGCAAAGTTTGCAAAATACTTTTTTCCAAGTCCGCAGAAAAAGCCAAAGCCCCAAGCTGGAGGCGGAAAGGAGGGCTCGTAAAAGGATGCTCAGTTATTGAGGCGGGCTGGGGGCTCCTCTGGCCCCCTCGCAGGGCGAGCGCCTCTGGCCTCCCGGTGCGCTCCTGTCCCGGACAGTCCCCCATTAGCCCCAATCGGTTATTAGCGACCACGTGGGCAGGGATTTAATAGCACGAGCTTTATCATTTAAAAGAAAAAAAAAAAAAGGAGAGAGGGAAAAAAAACGAAACTGAAGTGTTGAAATGAGACTAGAGAAAAAATATACTCTTGGAAAGGGGAGATCTGGATTCGCATACCCGCTTAAGTAATTATATATATATTTTATATATTAAACATACACGCATATATATATTTGCTCAGAGAAACACGTATCTTCGGAGACCTTTGAAGGAGGGCTGTTTCTGGCTGCAGAATTCACACAAGCTCTCGCGGCCCCAGGGGTCTTGCAAATATCTTTTTTATGTCCAAGAAGCTCTAGTGGGATTTCATTATTTTATTATCTTTTAATCATTGCTGAATTTTTTTTTTGGATCGAGGGATCCACATGATTTTAGGGCCTATTTCCTCGAATAATTATACCTGATTGATTTTACCTGTTAGCCATATTCACTGAAGCAGCGAGCAGGTTTTAAAGCTGCTAGACTCCCCATGAGGTTAAAACCAGGTAGCTAAATAGTCAATTAAGCTCGGCATGTTTCACCCGCCTTGAGATTGCAGCCCTTGCTTTCTCTAATCAATTCCCAGGCTTTGCTCTGAAATAGCCCATTTTCAAGATTTGTTCTTCCCTTTTCTTTTTTCGGGAGGGAGGGGGGGAAGAAGAGAAGAGTCTTCATTGAGGTTCACCCCAACCTCGTAGGAAAGAAAACAACACCCCACCGACACAAAAAACTTTGGTAAGGGAGTGTCAATGCCATGACCTCGGTGGTGCTGCTAATGCTGCACTGCGGGACAAAACACGTCCCGAGGGGGCGACAGGGCGGGATCTACTGGCGACTAGGTCACGCGTGGGCGCG